AATTTTTTTTTTTGCCTCCTTTTACGAAATGAACTCAACATTGAGTTCTATATATTTTAATGTGCCCACTGGGTTCAGCAATGCATGACTGCTTTCACATATATCGAGCAAGTGCATTAATTATTCGATTAGTTACTTGAATTATCTAACATTTCTCGCGATGCAAAAGCGATTATTTACAACAAATCGAGTGATTAGAATAGCGCCAGCGATTATTATTTTTTTTTTTCATCTTTCTCCTTATTTATACTCGCTACCAGTTTTAGAATACGATAGATCTAGTTATAATTGCGATGATAAAGAAGTTATAGGGTATAATGTATATATAGTCATGAGTGGACCACGTTGGGTTTTTCATGTATATAACTTTTTTTTTTTTTTGTAGTAAATAATTAACTAACTTCAATACACCGTTGGCTGGATAGTGAAAAAATCTACAAATTACATATGTATTTAGAAATTTTTTTTTTTTTTTTAATGTCATAGAAATATTTTCTAGATGTTTTTTCAAAATTATTTTTTTCCAATTATTTTTTTTCTGGTATTCATGAGTGGACCACCCTGGAAAAATCATTTTAAAATTTCTCAAAATTCATTAAATATCATAAAATTTAAATAATTATTTAATAAATATTTAAATTGTATGATTAATGAATTTTTTTTTTTGAGAATTTTCAAGATGATTTTTCCAGGATGGTCCATTCATGACTAGAAAATAAAAATAGTAGGAAAAAAAAAACCCTTTTTCAAAAACGCCCAAAAAAATTTTAAATACATGTAACTTGTAGCTTTTCTCACTATACCTATCACATAGTGTATATTGATATTTGCTAATTATTTACCCTCTAAAAAAAAAAAAATTAAAAAACAAAACAAAACGTGGTCCACTCATGACTATACATTCCCCTATAAATAAACATACATATATATGCTCGCGGTAGGATTAATAAATCAACGTTTATATATAAACAGGACTCGATTGAATTATTTGATCCGTTAGCCTAATTTCTCATGTCAGGCAAGCAAGGTCGTCGAGAAGGAGAGCGAGTATTTTGCGCGCGCGAAGATAAATAACGCGAGAATGTAATCGCAAGTGTACATCGCACAATCTTACATTACCGTTCCTTTTAATGATTTTTCTCAACACATACACACATTTCTATATATGATCGTCGTCTCACAAAATAGTTGGTATAATTAACACAAGATTGGAATAGGAGATAAACGATTCAGAAGCAATGAGATGGTCCTGGGATGAAGATAAAAAAAGAATAATAATAATAATAATGATAATAATAATCGTTCTACGCGTTATGAGCGCGCAGCCAGATTGAATTACTTCGATTCATTTTTCACTTTACGCATTTACGGTCGCATTGAGAGCGAGAGTATACTCTATATATATATAATGTATTCATGCGATGCGAATAAAATTGTCTTTCCTTTTATTTTTCAACCCTCATATCGTTTTAAATATATATATATAAAAGCGCAGGCTAATTTCATCGCTCCTCTTTTGCTAACTTATAAGTTTCTTCAATATTTTACGACTTTTCCATGATTATATCCGGTCAAATTAAATGGTTCATGCGGTAAAAATCGTTTTTAAGTATATTTATATATGAAATGGATGCTTGTGAAATCACCTGATAATGGAGAAAATTGTTTGATGTTTATATATATAGCTAAAAAATCAAGTTGATTATTTGCTGTGATTTTTGGATTTACGTGTGTGCGCATATATGTAATAAATGAGATCGAGAGTAACTCACATTTGCAAATTATCAACTTCTTGATAGTATATGGTCATTCTATTTTATTTTACGATGATTTGATATATGTATTAATCATTTTATAGTGTTTACTTTTAAGTTTTAAATTAAATTAGGAATATAATGTGGAAAAAGTAATTCTGTTTAATGTCGGTAAATTGGTATCGCATTACAAAGGGGGGGGGTCGATTATGTAATTCCATTTTCCACTTAGAAAAATTTATTTGATTCAAATAATCGCTTACTTGACTATTATTAAATAAATATTTATATTTATAATTATTTTATACTAAAAATTAGTATAGTAATGATACAGTACTTGCCCAGTAATGGCGCAATACTGGCACGGTACTGGCATAATAGTGGCGAAATTTTGGCACAGTACTGGCACAGAAATGGCACAATACTGACATAATAATAGCGCAATGCTTGCACAGTACTGACACAGTAATTGTGCAATACTATCACAGTACTTTTATTTGAGTAAATTAAATGATATTTGTTTTAAATACAGAAATTATTGTTCCAATTTATTTAATTCAAATGAAAATTATAATTGGTTTAAGTAAATATTTATTTGCTATTAGTCAAGTAACCGATTATGTGAAACAATAATTTTTTTTTTCAGTGTACTTGATGAATTTTGAAATTTATTTTACACTTTACTCTTTATGGCTTCTAATGTATATGTATATATATATATTTTTTAAATCTATATATACTTTAAGAAATTTCATCTTTATATGTTTTGAATTAATGCCAATCAATAAAGTGAAATTTAGAAATCTGAAACGATCGCATTAAAATAGCCAACATCGCGCGCTGTCACTTTGCATTTGCAAGGACAGAATCAGAAACGTACGAAATAAATGAAACCATATCGGTTCGATAAAAGGATTTGTCACTATATATATATATAATACGAAAGGGGATTTTCGTCTAGATATGTATCGAATTTGAGGTGGCCTTTAAGAGGATTTAAAATTATAAAGTAACAAATTTTATTCAACACTGAAAAAAAATAGTAGGTTTTACTACTTTTTAACTACTCTGAGTAGTACAATAGGTCCTCAACTGAATTTAAACGGTTCTATTAACTATATAAAAATAGTTAAACCAATTAAAAATGTAATTGGTAGAATGACATTTTGTGATTGTATTAACTCAATTTAAAAATGTTAAAATAATTCAAGATGTAAGTAGTAGATTTTACTACTTAAAGTGGTTCAATAGGCTTTAAGAACATTTTTTTGTAGAATTAATAAATCTTTTGCAATTAAAACTACTACTTTAAGTAGTAGATTTTACTACTTAAAATAGGGAAATAAAATTATTTTTTATTTATAATTGTTTATCAGTAGAATTGACCTAACGATTATGTAACTAACAGACAAAATTTCTAACCGACGGGAATTGAACCCTCGACCCTAACACTCGCTATCCGATACCTTAACCGACTGACCACGCACGCTCGCTACGACACTCTGCAAACTACTCGAAGACTACTTTCTGGTTGTCCAATTGGTAATTTAACTATTTAAAGTAGTCATTTTTACTACTTTTATTAGTTGCTATAACTATCCTTTTTAAGTTTTGACTTGTAAATTTTTCATCTTTTAATTATATTATAAGTTGTTTAATTGCATTGTGCAGCAAAATCTACTACTTAAAGTGATAGTTTTAATTGCAAAGGATTTTTTACTTCTACGACATAAATGTTCTTAAAGCCTATTGAACCATTTTAAGTAGTAAAAGCTACTACTTAAAGTAGTAGTTTTAATTGGAAACGATTTGTAAATTTTACATCAAAAACGTTTTTCAAGTTCATTGAATTAATTGAAATAGTAAAAAATTACTAGTTTAAGTAGTAGTTTTAATCACAAAGGATTTGTTAATTCTACAACAAAAATGTTCTTAAAGCCTATTGTACCACTTTGAGTAGTAAAATCTACTACTTAAAGTAGTAGTTTTAACTGGAAACGATTTGTAAATTCTACATCAAAAATCTGCCTTAAGTTTATCGAATTAATTAAAATAGTAAAAATCTACTACTTAAAGTAGTAGTTTTAATTACAGACGACTTGTTAATTCTACAACAAGAATTTTATTGAAGCCTATAAAATCATAGAAATTAATAAAAAATTGACTACTCAAAAAGCAGTTATATTAATTAAAGAAAATAATTCCTTTTACTAAATTTCACATAACTGGTGAATAGTAGTTGGATTTACTACTCTTGAAATTTTGAGTTGACTACAATTCCACTTGTTTTTACTACCTTAAGAAAATTAATTTTACTACCGACCTGTAGTTGTACTTTAACTACATATTTACGTAAAATCAACTATTACTTATTAACTTCTTAAAAATTGTTACATTAACTACATGAACATGCTTAGATTAACTAAAAAAGTAATTATTTTAACTACTTTCTAGTCAACTACCCAATGGCAGTTGAATTTCTCGGCAACAATTTTTTCAGTGTAGTTGTTAATTTTATTTTGTAATTTTTTTAGCCCACACTTTTTACTAAAATTTAAATTTTTTTCTGCATCCTGACGTGAGTTTTTACTCTCTAAATCTGAATTAGTAGTTTTCTACTAATAAAAGAGTGCGGATTCGTTTACCAATTGAATTAGTACACGGAGAGACCGCCGGTTAGAAAAATTACTAAAAAAATTTACAAGTAGCGGAAATAAGGTTACATTGTCAAACATTGCTGTAGGAAATCGAAAATTCTACTAGCAGCATACTTAATAAAACTGTAGACTATAGTAATTTCTATTCCAATTTGTGTGCAATTTTACTATAGTATACAGGTTTTATTAAGTATGCTGCTAATAGAATTTTCGATTTCCTACAGCAATATATGACAAAGTAACCTTATTTCCGCTACTTGTAAATATTTTTAGTAATTTTTCCAACCGGCGGTCTCTCCGTGTAACAGTTTTGACTCTTTTTTAGTATAAAACTACTAATTGCTAGTAGAAAATTACTAATTCATGGAGTAAATCGTATTTTTTACTATTTTAAATTAGTAAGCCAATTTACTCCATGAATTAGTAGTTTTCTACTAGCAATTAGTAGTTTTCTACTAATAAAAGAGTCAAAACTGTTACTAATTCAATTGGTAAACAAATCCGCACTTTTTTATTAGTAGTAGAAAACTACTAATTCCAATTTAGAGAGTAATTTTTAAATTTTTTTAAATTTATTGATGGTACTTACATGTTCGTCAACAGAGTACGTCAATTCCCCATCGTCGTAGAGAACGAACCATCGACGTTGCCATCTCTGTAACAAAAAAAAAGAAGAAAAATTTTTATTACTCATGAAATATTGTAATTTATTCATTATTTTAATATTTGAAATAATTTGCAAAAATTAATGAGTTTTTGATTCTTTCTACAAAATAATAAATCACTACTTTCAAAGAAATTAAAATTTTTTCTTTACAATATTAATTTTTTTTCGCAATAGTATATATATATATTAGACTCCCTGCAAAGTCTATTTTCTATTTTAAATTTCATCTACTTCTATATGTCTATAATTTTTAATACAATTTTTTTTTATTTTTCGTAGAATGTCCATTTGACATCAATAAAATATCAATTATACTCTTATGATCATCAATTTTGACCTCCTAGACGTAGCAACGGGTGGTTGTCATTTCAGAGTCTGTACTCATCTATAACTTCTGTCATTATTTACAGCTTGATTGACTTTGTAATAGACCAATAAGTCCTATTAATATTTCATACGTCAGAAATAGAAATTGTATACATCAATTGATTGTAATATGTTAGATCAAAAATAAATGATGATGATGATCTTAAAAAAGTTTTGGCATATACGATAATCAAAAAAAAAAGGGATGTGACCGTTAACTTTCAACATAGTTAAAATATCTAGAAACTAGATAGTTTCCATACAGTTAAAAATATCTAAAGAGTAGATACTTTTCCATATATAGTTTACGTTTGTAGAAACTAGTTTCCATATAGTTTAACTATCTAGAAACTAGATAGTCTTAATATTGTTTAACTGTCTGGAAACTAGATAGTATAAGTGTCCTGACATTTCTAAATAGTTGCACTCGACAATTTCTAGATAGTTGTACTATATAGTTTCAATATAGTTTAACTATCTAAAAACTAGATAGTTAGAACGTACTTTAAGTATCTAGAAACTAGATAGTATAACTGTCCTGACCTTTTCTAATAATCTAGATACAGTAGATAGTTTCTATATAGTTTAACTATTCAAAAACTTTATGGTCGTAGCGTTACATTTCCATCTAGTTTCTCTACATTTCAACTACTCATTGACTATAAAATCCATTTTTTTTCTCACAGCTAATTGTAAGATTTAAAACCAAATTTTTTTATTTTTAATTCGTCCCATTGATATAACTATAGTATCAACAGTTATATATCAATCACGAACAATTGACAGAATGTCGTTTCATCAAACTCATGATGATGATGATGATTATAATATGATGATGGTCACCATCATAGAGAAGAAATCGTCAAGCACGGACAACGACGACTTTCTATATACCATCAGAGTGTTGCGCATCTTTAAAAGCAGCCGCCAGCCGATTGGTCATATACGTGCTCCACCCATCAATATGCGCATACCTTAAGGATCCTTAGGGTTTCGAGCGATTGAATATTTATCCTCCGACACTGTATATCTTGTCTTGGCTATACACGATGGATTCTATATATATATATATATATATATATATATATATATATAAAATAGGTAGAGCCGACTTATCCGAAACGTGTGCGCCGCTCTCGACGATCGGTTATCTTGATAACCCTGCCCGCGGTTAGTCGCGACGTTGACGAAATCAACGATCAATGCTACTTGGTTCTTTATACACGACTACCTAATGATAAGCATACCCACGATGAGAGCAAAGTTAACGACTCAATTTAATCAGAGAGAGAGAGAGAGAGAGAGAGATGTTGAATTTTCTCTTCAAACTATTATTCAATTCGGAGATGTCTCTCATGCATATTGGTGACGCAATTTATACTTTATATAATGTACTGAGTCGAATGAACTTAAAAAAAAAAAAATTTAGTGTGGTCAGAGTACATGACTCACATCCCAAGGGTTCTGGGTTCGATCCCCCATACGTGCGAGATTTTTCAAAATTATTCTTAGGTGTTTTATATACTACTGTATAATATAATAATTTTAAACAGAATATAATCTGTACATCTGAATTACTCATCTTTGACTAATTAAACTGATCCTCTTTGTTCATTAAATAAAATGAATTAGTAACCGTTTTAATCAAAAATAACTAGATGATAGTAGGAAACTACTTATTTATTTGGTAAGGCTACTATTTTAATTACTAAACTTTAATAAATAAATTAGTCAAAAAACTACTTTTTTCTACTTATACCTTCGACTAAAAATTAGTCGAAACGGTTACTAATTCTTAAAACGCCAAATTTTTATTTATCCAAAATTGAAAATATAGCTGAAAAAAGTAATTGACAGAATGAATTCGGCGCTATTTTTAAAATTGAGCAATCACAATTTTCCTTTACAATTTCTGGGTTGCTCAATTTCAAAAATAGCGCTAAAATTTTTCTGTTACTTGTTTTTTTTTTGGCCATTTGCAATTTTGGATAAATAAAAATTGTTTTAAGAATTCTGCCAAATAAAATTTCGATAACTACAAATTTTAAGTAAAAATTTGTTTAAAAAGAAATTCTTTAAAATTCTAATTTGAAAATTAAAAAATTTATCTAAAAAATTATTATATTTACTAAAAAAAAAATTTTTAATTATTTTGATATTTAATTTTGATATTAATTTTAAATAATTACACGGAGAAAAATGGAAAAAAGGAATAAAGTAACTTTTACTAATTAAAAAGTAAAATCGAAACTGTCCGCAGTTTCTACGCATTTCTGGCAATTTTTACTCCAGGAATAGTAAAATTTACTCCGAAAACAGTCAAATTTACTTCTGAAATAGTGAAAATTATTTCGGAAATAGTAAATTTTACTATTCCTGGAGTAAAAATTGCCAGAAATGCGTAGAAACTGCAGACAGTTCCGGTTTTGTTTCGAAAGATGTTCACCTTTACTCATGTCAGACACAATGAATTTTTAAGTTTTTTTTTTTAGGTTAAGTTGACAGAAAGCACTCGCTTCAGTATAAATAATACAATGAGTTGGTTATATTATTTTAGAATGCACGGATAAAATCTAGGAAAATGAACTCGGTAGTTTTGTCGAAGAGGAGAAGAAAGAGGATTGGAAAGACTCTCGCGCGGGATGCAGGAGAGAGAGAGAGAGAGGCCCAATATGCGTTGCTGAAGATGATGGTGTGTGCATATTTAACTCTTGGGTATTGTATGCAAATGTGCGTGCGCCGTGCGAAGTTCATGGCTTCATGCGCGCGAATACGCACACTCTCTCCCTCTCTCTCTCTCTCTCTCGAATAATATGGTCATATATGCTCGACTATCACCTATATCCTCTATATTTGGTTATCTTTCAAATAAAAATAAAATGCTTTCGTATATATGATGTATTCCACGCCAAAGTGTAAATCCATCTGCAATATTGCATCTCCGATTTTTTTTTCTTTTAGTACAAATTGAAACTAGCTTCCATGAATTTTGAAAATTGGAGAATTTTCATGACTTTTAATTTTTGAATGCTCATAACTTCCTTAAAAGTGCATCAATTTTAAAAGTCTTTTTTTTCAAAATTTTTTTCAAAAAAACTACTTCTTATTACGAAACATTTAAGCCTAGCCCGATAATGGGCAAACAATTTTTACAATATTTTCGGAATTTTTCAAAAATTTTTGAATTTTTTAAAAATATTTTTGGTTTTTTTTTATACTACGTACTTTTATGTATTTTAATGCGCTGATTACAAAAATCATAGTGACAATACACAAAAATTTGATTTTTATGGTGAAAACCATAAAAATGTTCAAAAATTTATGCAATAAAAATTGTTTGCCCATTATTGGACTAGATTTAATACATAAAAGTACGTAGAATAAAAAAAAACCAAAAATATTTTTCAAAAATTCAAAAATTTTTGAAAAATTCCGAAAATATTGTAAAAATTGTTTGCCCATTATCGGGCTAGGCTTAAATGTTTCGTAATAAGAAGTAGTTTTTTTTTGAAAAAAATTTTGAAAAAAAACGATCAGTACGTCAAATGAGAAAAATGACTTTTTATCATTAAAACTCAAAAATTTGATAGTAATATCGTTTTAAAAAAAAATTCGATTTTTTGTTGTTGAAAAGTACGTTTAAAAACACACATTTTGAAAAAAAAGACTTTTAAAATTGATGCACTTTTAAGGAAGTTATGAGCATTCAAAAATTAAAAGTCATGAAAATTCTCCAATTTTCAAAATTTCATTACTCGAAAACGGCTTGCTAAAAAAATTTGAAAAAAATCATGGAAGCTAGTCTCAATTAGTACACTTTGGCGTCGTATACATATCATATATATTCCATTCCTTCATTCGTACTGAAAATATACTCATCACCATTGGAAAATCAAAATAATCGACAACGACTTTTAAAATAGATAGTGACAAGACACTTTGGAAAAAGAGGTCGAGGACATGATGTCCATTCTTATTCAGTTTCTACACACATAGCTTATATATGAAGCTACAACTTTTAAGGTGGAGTTTTCACATCCATCAGTTTAAAGTGACAACTCATATCTCAAAAAAGAAAAAAAAATAGATTAGAAATGAAAATATTTGCAGTATTATTGATTTTCATTTTATTTATGAAGAAAAAATCAAAATTCTTTATACTGTGACTAATAATTTGCATTATAATATTTTCAATAGAGATTTAATTTAAGTATAACAATGAGTCCATTTTCACCGCGTGGATAAATTTAATCTTCCGAGAGAGGTTAAAGGCTGCTTTTGCGCAGACGCAGAACTGCCTTTAATCTTTCTCGGAAGATTAAATTTATCAACGCGGTGAAAATAGGCTCACAGGTATATTATTTTTTTTAATTCGTTGAATTTACAATTAAAACTGCTTCCTTGAAATACACGAATTATGTTTAAATAGTAAAAAAAATTTCAAATACCCTACTTGTAGCTTTTCTCACTATCTATCCCAACGGTATATTGAAGTTAGCTAATAATTTACTTAAAAAAAAAAAAAATTATATACGAAAAACAAAACGTGGTTCACTACATTCCCACTATAAAAAACGAAATAAATGTTGTCAATGAGAGGAAAAAAAAGTGAATTTCTAACA